TAGTGACCAGGTGCCGTCTATTAGGGACAACAAACCAATGTTTGCAGATGTCTGTTGGTCACAGTACACAGGCTGGGCAAGACACCTGGCCAGTGCTCGGGCACAAGAGAAAGGGTGAAACGAAATATGTCACGCTGTGCTCGACCAGAGCATTGTCCGTGATACGAACATCAAGATGGTGGAGTTGATTTGATAGACAGAATGATAAAGCTTACTATCGCAGTACACCCTTATAAGAAAAGTACAACGATGCGGTATTGGTAATGAGCTGTCATGGCGATCTGGGCTTTAAGCCAACAGCTGGCTACGATCTACCGCCCAAAGAACCATGCAATATGTTGCTGGGAACCCATCGAAATTCCTTCAGTTGCCGCCATGGAAGTGCGCTAAGATCCTCGGTTGCCCAGCATCACGAGGCAGATGGCAGAACTTTCGGCACACCAGGTTCAAGGGGAAGAAGAAGAAGATTCAAACCAGGGGCAGTGCAACGTCATGTGACAGGCAGGGTTTGGCCCATGTCTCAGTCCGCAAGGGGAGGGCCTTAATCGCCCCCCACTTCCCAGAAGATGGATCGGCCTGACACTTTAGGGCTGTCACTGGCGAAAAAACCGAGTGGCGTTGGTGTGGACCTGCAAAGTGTTCTGTGCTTGCCAAACCTTGAGAACTGGTTACTCAGCCCTTTCACACTAAGGTTTGGAATGGCAGTTGATTTCCTCAAGGTGTTTACATGTGTCCTAGGGTGGTGGGGTACATTTTGTGATGTCCATTACTTTTGTGTGGGGATGTGGTTGTGTGTAGGTGTGGGGTGTGTGTGTGTGTGGTGTGCTGGTCGTGTGGTGTATGCTTGTGTGGTGTGAGAGGAAGAGAGACGTGTGGAGAGTTGTGCGATTGGTCACCTTCGCCTCCCCAACTCCTCGTCTCTTCAGATCGTTGAAGGTCAGTCAATCAGGGCGTGAACCTCTGGTCTGGTGAAGGCAGCCTCGGTCCTTTCGAGGTTCGTCAGGCTGATCGCAGGCCTTGTAACATGGTTTCCCCTTTTTTAACATTTACCCATGCAAACTTTTCACACTGGACAAGCTATGCATGTTTTTATTCAGTTTTTTTTTTCCACTACTGGACATGTTCAGCGACATTAGTAGCTGAATACGTTACTAAAAGAAAACTAGCTTGATCATTTTGTTAACGGATTTTAGTGATTTTGTTCTACAGACAACAATGTCATCCTGCAACCTGGTCTTAACCGTGTCCAAAATTGCAAAAATGGCAATGTGTTTCCAGTTAGTTTTTTTACTTCTGATATTCGTGTGTAAAACATTTCAAAAATATGTGTGTTGTGTATGTTGTTATTCAATACATTAAAAAACAGTCATGAAAAAACTTCCTGTTGGCTTCAATGTGTGTTGTCGAAATAAATACTGTGTTTTTCTATTCTATTTACACAAAGTTGGTACTTATTTTGTTTTATGTAAAATATCAACCATTAATCCATTATATATTCGTGAATCTTTTTCTCTAAAAATAAAAAAAAAAAAAAAAAAAAAAAAACGTATTGATCATATCTCAAATAGCATGATACTTTTGCTAGTTTTTTATCTCTTCTAATTAGTTGCCAAGTGAGCCTAAACGTTAGTGTGCAAATGATACAATAAAAAATGTCATGTTAAAATCGAGGTTTTTCCTGGAGTATTGAAGTACGTAGAGTTTTCATAATCTCACACATCTTGGCCCATTGGACGGTTAAAAAATTCGAAAGGGAAGGGGGGCTAAGATTGGAGGATTGGCATTTGTTTACTAAATGTTTGGTATTGTCATCAGGACTGGAACTCAAACTCGATCGCCCTAAACAAAAAACAGTCACATGGACGAATGGAACTTTTATTTCCATGCGATAATTCATCATTGATTAATTTGTAAGATAGTTCAGTGGTAACTGACACGGTGCAAAGCGGCAGCACAATAATGGCAGAACGCGAATGCTTACAAAAACTATGGATGATATGTAGCATGCCTCTCATTTCTAGCTGCATACTGATGCTTGCCGACGTAGTTAATATAAAATTGTCACTAGAAGATATGGGATTGGAAATGTTTGGCATCTGCGTGCGGTGTCTGTGTCTAATAAACAAATTTTTAAATCTCCGATCTTAATTTGGACATGTTCTTGTCTAAATTATTTATTGCAGGAAGTTACTTTTTCACCCATGTAAGCAATTGAGGTGTATTGGTGCATAAAATACTTGAATCTGTGTGGAAGTTTATATGAAATTTGAAGATTTACCCACAAGGTGTGCCAAAAATAATAACAATTACCTTGTTCATAGTCTCCCTTTTTCTTTTTTTTTGTTTGGCTTGGTCTTGGTGTCTCTTCCAATTCATCTTCTGAGCTATCAGCCTCGATCTCTTGGGTTTGACGGCGACGTCTGAGAGTGTGGGATGAACCTGTACCTGTGCCTGTGCCTGTACCTGTGTCCGTCCCTGTCCATGAACCTGTCAACAAGTTTTGTAAATAAGCATTTTGCTTGAGCTGCATTGCCACGAATATGTGTACTATACATATAATGTCAGGGGAACCTTTTGTTTGAAAGCAAACTGACCAAACTTCATCAAACACAGACAAACAGTGTTGCTTTGCACTTCCGCTTTACAATAATAGCACTTACAGTTGACTGGGGCAGTTCCAGTACAGCAGAAATATAACAAACTGACTCATGGATAAAGGTAGCAAACTATGACAGTGCCACATTTAAAATCACTGAGCTCTTTATAACCTATGTGCTGGTTTTTATGCACCTGTTAGCAATGGGAAATGGGAATGGAAACACCTGAACTCAAGAATTAGTCGGGGTGTCCACTGACTTTTGACCACACGGTGTCCGTCTGTTGGTTGTTGTGGTTGTCTATACAGTCTAGATATCAACAATGGAAAATATCAAAAATGTATACAGTGTGGTTTGTTTGATAGTGTGGACTCAAAAAGGCAAAGCTAAAGACTTGTGCTACTCCTAATAATCCTATTCTAATTCAAATACAATTAGAATAGATAGTAAATATCCAGTTGCAAACTGACTAAAGGGGCGAGTGAATTGTTTCCTCTGTTGATTGTAACTGATTGAGCTCTTTGTGTTTAAAATTTTCTAAAATGAAAATCAGTGTGATCAATCAATCCCTCATCTGCTGAGCTGAGTCAGACAGATCACGAGTTAATCTCATTTTAGGTGATCATAACTATGTGATGGCTCAAGAAAAGCCCAGTCTTCTGCTAATCTTCCTCCAAAAACAAACTAGTTATCATCCTGTGCTGGGTGTCAACCTAAAACTGCATATCTGGTGTCACTTTGCACAAAGTAAGAAAACCTGCTGAAAAACTGTTACTGAGTGTTTTGTTTGAAAGTCAAAACTGTAATTTGTTGTGCTAAATAAGACTTAATAAGTTTTACAGTAGTAAGTCACTTTGTACGGAAGCATCTGAGAGAATGGTGGAGAGATGTAATGTTAAGCTTGAAAACAAAAACTAATGACACATACTGCAAAGTCTGCTTACTTAGGCCTCCCCTAATGCACACTTACTGACACCTCTCTCTCTCTCTCTCTCGCTCTCTCTCTCTCACACCACACACACACACACACACACACTGTGACTATTGTTGATCCCATGTTGTTTGCAATCAACAACTATATATTAAGTAATTTAAAAAACAGCTGACTTACTGTATGCACCATTGCCATATATGACTATTGTCAAGGTGAGTACATTTTCTTTCTGTGTATAAAGAGACAGTATATTGATTCATGGCCATTTTTATTTCACTATTATATTGTGTCTAAAATTAAATTTGATTATTATCAACACCTTTCATTGCTATCAAAATGTGAATTATGAAGTGTGCTCTGAATTGAGTTGTTTTAATAACTTTCAAACTGAATATAACAGCAAATGTAGAATAGTCCTTTTTCACAGCAGATATATATATTCCATAATATATAATAGCAGGAGGCGTAATTAATAACTGCATCCCGTTATCTTTGAGACGGCCTTCCACTACATGTTAAAGTACATTCAGTAGAAATCTTTAAATCAAGACTCTGTATTCACTTCATTACAGCCTACAACTTAATCAGGTCCATCACCTTTAACACTGATGTTTTCACTGTGGGTGTTTTATTTTAACTATTGTATTTGCTTGCTGCTTGAATGTTTATCCTATATATTATTTTTAATCGTAAAGTGTATGGACCATATTGGATGTTGATTCTGCACTTTGAATTGATCGATTGATTCCAGTTCGCTGCCTCATTTCAAGATAATGGTTTTGTGTATACTAGCTCATTTGGTTGACTTAATGAAACAGAGCCAGAATTACTGTTTATTTTTATACATGTGCTTTCATACAAGTCAAAATAATCAATTTGATGAACATCTATTTCATACGTTAATATAATGTCTGATTGACAAAAAGGTTTATGGTGTATGGAAAAGTACAGGTGTTACTAATAACATTATTGATAGTTTGTTCTATTTAAGTGTCGCAGTCAAGACAGTGACCCTAAAACTGAAACTAAATGGAATTCAGCCTTCATAAATGTGATTTTCTTACTGCATATTTATTTATGGCTTTCTATATTTTATTTTGTTGTAATTTACTTGAGTTTAGGGCAAGTGAATGGAATTAATGATTATATGATATAATTAAAATACTGGGGCTCTGTAGCAAGAAGATGTGAAGACATGAGATAAAAAATGTAGTTTTATTATTGATAATGTCATAAATGTTCATTTGTGTAAGTTTCAGTGAGAAGCATACCAACATAAAATAACTAAAAGTTGAATAGTCTTTTAACATTGTAAAGCTTTATATTCATGTGACATGTTTCTTTAAACTTGATGATTTTTTAGGCAAAGAACCCAAACTGCTGATCAGTAATAAACTAATTAGCTTATTCTAATGTAACCAGCAGTTGTCTCCAGTGAAACAGGTTCGAGGGACGCTGTCAGTTGACCCATGAGCCTTTCAAATACTAACAGGAATGTCACAACAACGGCCTATCGTGACACTTTAAACACAGCTATTATCAAGAATGTGATTACTGTGGTTCTCTGCATCTCCATCAACTATGTCAACGGTATGCTGGTGCACACATTCAAAAAACACCAGGTCTGTATCTGTTTCTAGAAATCCATTTAGCACGAGTGTTAAAATCATTTCATCACTTTAGGAATAAGCACCATGTGTGATATATTCTCATATTCTCTCTAATCAATTCTCTCCTTACCTGCAGGTTTTCAATATGAACCCTCGATACATCCTGTACATCCATCTGGTGATCAACGATATTATCCTGCTGACCATGTTCACTCTTGTTCAGGTCCTGAGTTACATCGTGTTCACTCTTAACGTCTCCTTATGTATCATTTTGCTAATGATTGCTATATTTGCCAATCTAAACAATCCCCTAACACTCGCTGTTATGGCAGTGGAGTGTTACATCGCCATATGTTTCCCTCTCCGCCACGCACAGATCTGTACAGTTAAGAAAACGTATGTTGTGATCGGTCTGATATGGGTGATAAGCACATTTTCAATCCTGCCAGATTTATTTGACGCACTGGCAACAGAATCCCTGGAGTTCTTTCGTTCCAGAGTTTTTTGTCTCAGGGAAAATATTTTCAGAAACCCCAATCTCACAGAGAAGAGAGATATATCCAACATAGTGTTTCTGGTCATTATTTGGCTCACTCTGTTCTACACATACTTCAGGATCCTTTTCGCTGCACAAGCAGCTTCTGCGGACGCCAAGAAAGCGAGGAACACTGTTCTCCTTCATGGCTTCCAGCTGCTGCTGTGTATGCTCACCTATGTTTTTCATCTTATGATTGAAGGTCTGACATACTTGTTCCCAAAAGGGGTATTGGCCATTCGCTTCACTATTGCGATATTTGTTCAGGTTCTGCCTCGACTCATCAGCCCAGTTGTTTATGGGCTACGAGACAAGACGTTCAGAAAGTACCTGAAAAGACATATATTCTATTTAAGTGGTGCTGAAACTCATCCACAAAAACCTCTGAAGAGGCCATTATAAAATCCTGTTTGTTTTTGTTTTTTTGATGCTCTGCTTATGCTGTTTCATCTGAATGAAACCATTTTAATATAAATTAAGAGTTTACCCACTTCTACGGGCACCACTACACTGCTGACAATAAAGCCTTTCCAGTGGTTGCTGCACAGGCCCTAACTTCATTTAGTCAGTGCATACGTCTACAATCTGCAGTGTTGGCCCATAATGCTCAGGTGACCTGTTTTTCTCCAGAGTAAAGATGTGTTTGAATTTTTTTTTTCCATCTCTGGTTTCCCTATAGTAGATATTGCATAGTAACTGATCATAACACATCAAACACAGCATGTAAATTCCACCCCTGTTTTGCAAAAATTATGTTTTTTTATAAGGTCTTTTATGAATGCATTCTTCAATTTTAAAGATCTTTGGACATGTTTGTTTTTTCTTGTTGTAGTTGAAGTTATAGTTGGGTCACATTAAACTACTTTGTTTCCTTTTACCAAATTCATCAATTAAAGTCATAATTTCTTCCACACACCAGTTCAGCCTTCCTTTTTACTTAAATGTAGTCATCATTAAACACTGTGATCTGTATGTTGAAAGAGTGCTAAAATGCAGGGATTAGTTTCACACAGGACAAAAAAAACATTTCTATTAGTCTACATCAGACATATAGAATGATCAACTACAGTTGGCAATTTAGACACACACAACCTTGGGAAATACGTTTCTGTTGAAATAATGAGCAATTTCTGAAACTGGAGGTTTTGTGGAACTGGCCAGTGAAATGTGGCATTCATGTTTACTCATGTGCAAATGATCCCTGCTTGAATTACCTGCTTTTACCTCTGTGCTGATTAAATTGGTGTGTAACACGACCCTTTAAATGCTATTTAATTGCTTTGTGTTGAAAACCGAGACAGATGGAAATCCAGCTGCTAGAGTACTTGATCCCCACTAATACTAATACATAAGAGGCAGTTTGTTTGGGACTTGAAGCATATGTTGTATTTTATTGCGCTTTCATTCTTAATTAGTGGACAGCTAGACACTTACATATTTTTAACTTCTTACCAGTAATTTTACAGTGAATTAGTATGAATCAAATTCAAATAGCATCGCTCCCTGTGGAGCTTTATAGTCTGTTTTAGTTTTCCAACCTGCAAATTTACTTTGTGGTTCAGTCTCACCATCTTCCAGCACCAAACAGCAGACGGAGTTAGACTTAGAAGAAGAGTAAATATTGGACTTACATTCACCAGGTTCTATGACTCCAAATGAACGCGGCTGCCCTCAAGTGCCTAAGAAAGATTATCACAGCTTTAAGACTGATTCTCAAGCATAGAAAGGTTCGACATTTCCGAAAACTCATCCATGACTTGCACTGGATGAGGTTAGCCTAGCTCAGCATAAAGACATAGGAAAAAG